CACATCTTCCGAGCAGCCTGCGTTACCGTGGTCGGTGAGGGCTCCCTGCTGAACATGTCGTCGGCGGCATCCGACAACCATGAGACGCAAGCTGGCATCGCGTCTAGTCTCCTGGGTGGCACCGTGCTGGCCATGAGTTTGGCCAAAGTCGAGGAGATTGAACGCCTTACCGGAGGCAAGGAACGATTGGCTGGCAGTCCGGCACTTGGCAACTTCGTGATGGGTATGTGTGTGTGTGCGTGTGTGTGTTCTCGACGTTGAATAGATAATTCGTTGTGCCAAATTTTTTTTCATTCTTCTGTCTACTGCTCCACCCTCCGTAACAAGCGCGCCAAATTTCATGACTTTTACATTTCCCGGACAAGTTTCCGATCATTTAAAAACCAGGTAGCTTGACTTTGATTCGATTGTCGCTGCGCCGTATAGCCTATGCCAAACAGAAGACTCATATTTGCCTAGTAGCACCTATGAACATTGCATTTGTCTGTAAAAATATGTCATGAAGAGACTGGTGTTCATCCGCGGGGTAGATGCACTGGAATAATACGGCAGCCAGGTCAGGGCACGGCAAACGTTATTCGGGTCGCGCCTCCATAACAAATTTCGAACAAGGAGAGGGGGGGCGGCTTGGTGGCACACACAGGTGCAGACTCACGTCGCACCGGCCCCCCGCGGCCAACTCCGCTTCCGATATTCTAGGCTCTGTTTTGACATCGGACACCAGTTGGTGAGGGAAAAGAGAGTGCGGAAGAGGCTCTACAAGTCTGCTATCACTTAAAGCTAATCCACGCGTAAGTCTACGTCCCTACGTCTCCATGCTGTTGAGCAATTGATGGAAATCTTTGAAATAGACGCTTGAACTGTTGTCATATATGATATACTGGCGCTTGCCGATTAGTTTATGGAACGTACTCGTCCCATTGAGTTGTGGGGTTCAATCTAGAGCCCTCGTAAGCACTTGCATAGCGAAATGTGATGTATGCGGATAATTGGATACTGAAAATGACAATCCCAGCTGTGGAGCACCTGGGCTTCGAACTCGCGATCTTTGGTCATTAAGCCGAACGCTCTACCACTGAGTTAGTAGTCCGTTGTCCTATTGGTTGCGATCGTGAATATTAATTACGATCAAATGGTGCTCACTGTTCGGGTTACCAGGCTTGTTAGTCCATTTACATCTTAAAGTTCAACCTAGAGCCCTCATAAACACTTAAATAGCGAGCGATAGTCCTGCACAGCAGAGTACTGGCAAAGTCAAGGGCAATCTGGATGGCCATTTCTGGCTTATTAGCCTTTGTCAGCCGGCCATATCCAACTCCAGGTTTGCACGATCTACGGTCCCAACGTAAATTATTGGGTAATTGAGCGTGAATTCCGACGCCTTATTCTTCCCAACCGTTTTAAGTGACGCATAGGTGTTGATGCCTTGCGCTCTTCCATGATGCGTCAGGGACGCTGTCGTGAGACCTCAACGTGGTCTGCTCCCTGTGAATTATGTGGCTTTTGAGGTGTAGCTAGCGAGACGTTATGTCCCTGCACAATATTGCGACCGGCCTTGAATAAAGAGGCTGGCGACTGATCTCACTGAGCATTGTTTATTTCGAAGTAGTTCACTGGTTAGGACTCCCTAGCCTTAAAACCAAGAATGGCCTACTGAGCGAAAACCTCGTGTTTTTTTCCAAACCGCGTGTCTTGAATTCATATTGTTCTCCTACTCAGATCTACTAAGCTTTCACACCACGCATGTTTTGTTTTTGTGTCGACTCTTCGGGCCAAGCGGTCAAATTCCTCTTGTTTCAACGTTTTAGGGCCTTGTGACTTAAAGAGCTGCTCAACTAGCCTGTGAAGGGTTTTATTACCGTTTTTCTATGGCGAAGCTCTCAAGTAATAGCTTTTCTTCGCACGTTGCGCTATTCCCAGCTTCAGAATATTGCAAGTATCGATTAGTTTCACAATTAATAAAACTTTTAATAACGTTTAGAGGCCACCCGTTAGTATTAAACAACCGACCATGTCGTACACGTATCTTACTCTACGTGTTAGCTTGTCGAACTGCCGTGATCGCTGCTCGCTTCTGCTCATAACTTTCAGATATTTCTAGGCTGTTTTCCTGACAGAACTGGTCTCCGTGGTTTCGGCCAGAAAGCATACTTTCGGCGACTTCATGCATCCCCCCCCACTCACCCCGTGAGTTTGTTTATCCGCGTACCCCGCGCAGCCGAATTAACCCTCGAGCCCGGCGACCAAAGTAATCTTGTCGCCACCTCTCCGCCACCGAATGCTTTGCCTCTAACCTCTGCCATTCCCTTTGCCTGCGGCCTCATGCATCTTTGCTTTTCCGGCCGCCTTCGCTCAGT